GTCTTATTATTACATATAATCAGTGATTCGTCATAATACCCCTATTCGTCATAATACCCCTGTCTCCCTTATATAAAATTTTATATTTTTTATAAATAATAAAATAGTAATATTATTATTTATTTTTTTTAATTATTAATTTTATTTTAAAAAATCAATTTAAAATTAATAAAAAATTTGTTAAAAAACAATAATTGCTTTTATATATAAATTAAATCCATATTGTTATTATAAATAAAATTTTATAAAAAAAAAAATTAAAAGAATAGTTTAATTTATATAAAAAATTTTTAAAATAAAAATTTCTTTTATTAAATTTAATAATTATATATTATCAACATAAAAAATTTTCTTGCTAATAAAGAAATTATAAAAATATATATTAATTTTATTAGTTATGATTTAATAAATTTCTTAGTAAAATATAAAATAATTTATATAATTAATAAAAAATAATTAAAAACTTTTTATTTTCAAATATAATTTTATTTATAATAATAATATTTTTTAAATGATATATATATACTGTATATCGTATTATATTATTGAATTATCTGTATGTTTATTGTATTTTATTTATCATGTGATCAGTACTTGTCGCGTTAAAAAGTTCATGGATTGATTGGTCAGTAACGCGTTAAAATAGATTTAAATTCCTTGATACAAAATACCACACAAAACACACATATATCCAAACATAAGAAAAATTTCCGATGGCCGACAACACTTTAAATTTAGATTATATCAGGCCGAGTACACCGTTTCATATCGTGACCGGAGACAAGTTAGTCATTTTGTAAAGACTATTTATTCCCTTGAATTATATGTCTGCTTAGATTTCATGAAATTTAGAACCGATGGTTTGGACGGTGATGGAATAATTAGTACAGAAGACACAATAATACGCATAAACCAACAACTGAATGCAAATGGATATCCTTCTCCTTTGAACTTTTTTGACGGTAATGAAAAATCCGTTTCAAAAATTGTAGAATGTATATATGAATTATTGCAACAACAAAAAAAAGGATACCGAATTTCGAGAGGAAATGAATGATCAACATAGGAGACTACAAAGCGATCATGACTTACTTCTAACAAGCATGGTGTGCAAATTAATTTCGTATTGTATTTCTCTCAAAAAAATTCTCATTATTATACCCCAATCTCAACAGAAAAACTTAAGGGCAAGAACAGAATTAAGTGAACGAGAAGTAGATGCATTAAGAGCGAAATTACTGTAAGTCTTGTTCCATAACTGTTTTGTGAATTTGTAGAGAACAAAAAAGAGACAAACCGATTGCAAATAGATGGATGGAAGAAGACTTGAGCAAAGAGTCCGAAAGACATCGATTAACAAAGGATGAACTGACCAAAACAAAAACTCAATTGATTTATACTAAGACACAAGCTTCGGTAAGTAGTATGTCGTAAATCTAAGATTTAGGAACACATAATTATTAATTGCTTCGATCGAAATTATTATTGTAGCATGAGATCAGGAAGAAAGAAAATGAATATAATAGGTTTAAAGAACAGATGCAAAAATTATTAAGTTCAAAATACAACGCAGCAAACTGTGGTCCGGATGACGTAAATCCTCCTCGGAAGTCAACAATGCGGCGTACAAATGATGTTCTATCAAATACGCAAGTGAATGCTGGTAGTTTAAATTATGGAAGATCTAATAGAGTGAATACAATTTCATAAAGCCTCGTTGTCTGCACAACTATTCGTTTACTAATAACAATATGCAATTCCAAGGAAATGGTTGCCCACTTGCAGGAAAGGAACGAAGAAATACGAAGACAAGAATTAGAAATCGAGTCGCTTAGGAACAGGCTTGGTAATAAAATTTAATTCAATTGATAGAGGTTTGATATAAAAGTTAATAAAATAATATATGGTGTTAATTTGCAAATTGTAGAAGAAACATCAAACTTGTTGGATAGAATGCAACAATCCAAGGATGAAGAAATAAGACAGAAAGCAAATGAAATTGAACAACTCGCGAGTCGACTCGGTATTGTTGATCTTCTAATTATTTATGATCCAACTTAATATTCAGATCGGAGACTAATATTAATTATCAAATAGAGGAGGCATCAAACTTGTTGGATAGAATGCAACAATCCAAGGATGAAGAAATAAGACAGAAAACAAATGAAATTGAACATTTCGCGAGTCGACTCGGTATTGTTGATCTTCTAATTATTTATGATCTAACGTAATATTCAGATCTGAGACTAAGATTAATTATCAAATAGAGGAGGCATCAAACTTGTTGGATAGAATACAACAATCCAAGGATGAAGAAATAAGGCAGAAAACAAATGAAATTGAACAACTCGCGAGTCGACTCGGTATTGTTGATCTTTTAATTTTTATGATCTAACTCAATTCAGATCTGAGATTAAGATTAATTATCAATTAGAGGAGGCATCAAAGTTGCTGGACAAAATGCAACGATCAAAAGAAAAAGAAATAAGACAGAAGGATTGCGAAATTAAGCAGCTTATCAATAAACTCGGTAAACATGGTTTCTATTATCACTAAAGTTTATGAATATCTAAAATAATAATATTTGATAAATAGATGAAACGTCAGGTCTTATAAGACAGAAGGATTGTGAAATTAAGCAGTTTACTAGTAAACTTGGTAATAATTGTTTCTGTTATCCTATTTATGAATATCTAAAATAATAACTTGACATTTGATAAGTAGATGAATCGTTAAGCTTTATAAGGCAAAAGGATTGTGAGATTAAGCAGCTTATCAACAAAATTGGTAACAAATTTCTATTATCACGCCTAATTTATGAATATCTAAAATAATAACTTTATATTTGTTAAATAGATGAATTGTCAAGCCTTATAAGGCAGAAAGATTGCGAAACTAAACAGCTTACCAATAAACTTGGTAATAATGATTTTTATTATCACCTAGGTTTATGAATACCTAAAATATAGCATAATATTTTATAAATAGATGAAACGTCAAGCCTTTTAGATAAAGTACAGCACTCGAAGGATGAGGAAACAAGAAAGAGGGATTACAAAATAGAAAAACTTACAAGCAAACTTGGTTAGAATTTAAGAAATATTATTTCTTTTAATTTAATACCAAATGCTAACTTAAGCTCAATTACAAAAACAGAGGAGGTATCAAATGTGCTGAATGAAATGAAACAGTTAAAGGACGAAGAGATAAAAAGAAAAGATTGTGAGATCGAGCAGCTTGTGAATCGACTTGGTAATATGCCATTTTTTTTCTATTTAATTGATTTAATTCAAGTAAGGATGCTAACTTGCGGATTAATATAAATAGAGGAAGCATCGAACCTGCTGGCTAAAATGCAGCAGGTGAAGGAAAAACAATTAAAGAAGAAAGAGTTCGAAATTGTGCAACTTGTGCATCGACTTGGTAAGAACTCTTATTATTCGCTTAAATAGCTTAAAGATATTAACTTGGATAAATCAATTTTACTAAATAGAGGAGGCAATCGCGCCATATTCCAAGTAAAACTTGATTCTATCCGACGTACACTCACTCGTCTAGAAGTTTAATGTTTTTAAAAAAATTTTATTATTTACGTAAATAAAAAAAATTACAAAATTATAACATTTAACTATATATTTGTCTAATATTTTTGAGTTATTTTGTTAAATTATATGCATCCAATGAATTAAATAATTATTGGTTGAAATACACTAATATTTAAAAAGGAAACTTCTATATATAAATTTTTTCACTTCTAAGTAATGTGAACCTTGATTTGTCACTTTACTTTTTTCTAATTGTTGACTGTTACAAATATTTTGTGTTCAAATTAATCAAGCTTATTAACAAAAGCTTTTTAAGAATTATGATATTTATTTTATATTGAGTATGTTTAATGATTTTTCAATTCCTATTTTTTATTTCTCAATTTATAATTATTTCAAATAATATTATTATAATAAATTATTTTTTTGAAGTTATAAAAATATTATTAAATTTATATTATAAATTATAATCTATATTTGAATTTTTTTACAATTATTTTTTTCAAATTATTACTTTTATAAAATTAATAATTTTTTATATTGAAAATTTTAAAAAACTATTTCATATATCTATTATTTATTTGAAAAAAAATTTTTCAAAATTTTTTTTTTAGATAAATATTTTGCAATTAAATTTGAAATATAATAATATTAACTTTTCATTTATTTAAAATTATATTAAAAAATAATTTGTTTAAAAAATATATATATTATAATAATAATTTTTATTTTTATTTCCAGTATTTAAAAATATTTTTTCTTTTATTTATTTCTATTATAAACAATCAATTTCTTTTAATAACAAAAAATAATTTCTTTTAATAATAAAAAACAATTTTTATATATTGTTATTTATTAAAATTTTTATTTAAATCCAATAGATAGTAATTAAAAAATAAATATTATAAATTTATTATTATTTAATAATAGATATTTTGCTATAAAAGAATAATTTATTTTTATTTTTTTTTATAAATGAATGTACAATAATATAATGAATAAATAATAGGAAATTATAAGAGTTAATATATCAGATATAAGTAATATATCAAGTATAAGTAATATATCAAGTATAAAGAATATATTTAATACAATATATTAGGAATAATATTGTTACTGTCTTGGGAGAGCAAAATGAGAATTGTGCTAATTTAGATTCATAGTGAACAGTGTGTTTTTATAAAATACAAAAAAAATAGAAACAGAACAAAGAAAAATAAAAGAAAAGATTCAAAGAAATATCAATAGAAATCAAAAAAAGATAAAAATTCACAATTTAATATATTGAAACTTTTAATCCCTTATCTAATAAACTTCAAAATCATTGATAAAAATAATATTCAGCCCTTAATGATTTAATTTACTCAATATATATTATATTTCAAACACTATCAAATAAATTAATATGAATAATTGAATATTATTATTTTAATCAGATTTTACAATTCTGTCCTAATATTGAAATCAAAAGATAACAATATACAAAAATGAATTTCAAAAAAAAAGAAATAAAAATATGAGAACAAAAATGTGATAAAATAATAATTTATTAAAGAAAATTATAAGAACATTACAAAATAATATAAGAATTCAATGTTTCTAAACTATGATTCAAGTTGTTCTTTCTTTAAGGCTGAGGGAAAATATAATCTTTTTATAATGTTTTGATCAATTGTTAATCGCTCTACTATAAATATTTACGTGTGGTTCATCTATTTTACACAAAGAATGGCTAAAGAATTATTTTTGTTACATTTGAGCAGTCTGCAAAAAAAATTCTTATCTGTAAGACAAGAAGTAAAATTATTCAAAATTATATTATGCTAATCATTTTTGAGCTCTTAACAAAAAATGTTTTACTAGTCTTTTTACAAATAGTTATTTAGAACTATAAAAAAGCTTCACAAGTTAAGTTTTGAGCTACGACGCTTCGAATTATTGTGCCATTTAAAATACTATAGATGTTTTGAGAATTCTTAAGAGAAATATTACTTTGCTAATATAAAAATATAGATAAAAATAATAAATAATAATAAATTATGATAATGTATGATAGAATATAACTAAAGTTAATAAAAATTTCAAAAATTTTAATAACAATATATACAATAGGTATAAAGTCAAAATGTATATAAACAACTTGGAAATATTTAAAAAATAAAGACAATTAGAATAGGTATTATACAACATTATTAATAAAAACCATCTTTGTTAATAAATTTGGCCTTATGAATTAAGTTTAGTATGGTGTAGCTAATAGAATTGTTACACATGAAGTAACTAGTTAGGATATAAGATTAATGGACTAATCTGTATTGATATTACAAACTCTAACCAAATTTATATGTCTTTTTTGAGCAAAACAATATTCTAATATTATACAGCATAAGACAGATCAAAGCAACTAACTTGTCATGATTTTACTATAACACCATAAATATAAAATATAAAATAAATAATAATATAATAAATATTATATGTACTTAATAATAATCTTCTGTTTTTTAAATAAGTATAATACAATTAAATACAATTAATAATAAGAAATGATTAATAATATTCTTGAATAGTTTATAAAATTCGAGAGGATTCTAAAAGGTTCTAATGTATTTTAAAAAGTTTTAAAATATTCTTAAGTATTCTGGGATATTTCTAAATGTTTAATTATATAATGAATCATCAAAAAGGTCCAGCCAATTTATTTTTTTTAATTTTTTTTTAATATATATATAATACAGATTTTTTTCTTTTATTTACATTAAATAAACTCGTGATTTGACCATAAATGCGATAGCTATAATATGGATAAACCTTTGTTCTTGGATCAGCATGGCATGATCTTATATGGGCACGCTCGAGGTGATACAAGTCGAACTATTGCCAGCAAGCTAGGATGTGGAAAAAGTATGGTTAATGATATCATTAAACACTCTAAAAAAACTGGAACAGTTGTTCTGAACAAATTATCAGGCAGACCCCTGCTTTTTACCTCTTTTGATTAAGCCCAACTCAAGGATCTTATCATGAAGGACAAAGAAAATAATTGCCATTTGTCTGCCACAAAAATTAAAAATGTCTGGTTAGCACGTACTAAAAAAACTATCTCTATCATTACTATTAGACGGAACCTAAAAAAAATAGGACTTTGATCTTGCAGACCCACCTGAAACCATATATTTCTGAAACGAACTGTGAAAAATGTTTAGAATTCGCCCTCCAACATAAACACTGGAAACCCTGGCAATGGAAAAGAATTTTATTCTCAGATGAATTCACATTTACTCTATTCCAACGTAGTGATTGAATTTGATGAGAAGCAAATGAAGAACTTAAGCTTCCTGTATTTCTGCTTCAGCAAAACACAGTCCAAGTCTAATGTTCTGGGGGCGCTTCGCTTATGGTGGCTTAGGTCCTATTGTTCTCCTTTATGGATTGGTTACTGGTGCTGCACATGCTAAAACCATTAAAAAATATGTCATATCCACTATGCAAAAATTTTTTTCACACCATGGTATTTTTCAGGAGGATAATGTAATGCCGCACAAGTCAAAAATTGCCACGGCCATTTGTGAAGCTCATGAAATTAAAAAATTATCATGGCCCCCTAGAGCTCCAACCTGAATCCTATAAAGAATTTATGGCATGAAATGAAAGAGGCAATTCGTAAAAAATTTTCTGCCCGTCAAACCTTAAAGAATTAAAAAAATATGTGAAACGTGCATGAAGAGATCTTCTGTTCGAATATTATCAAAGACTGATTGACAGCATGCCTGATTGAGTCAATATAGACATTGCCGCGAATGGATATCATATGAAATATTAATAATAAAAATTATAGATAGAAGTTTAATAAATAAAAAAATAAAAAAATTTTTGGATTTTTATTTTTT